AGTATTGACCAACCATGTTCATTTTCAGTTTTTCCTTCAGCAAGTTCCGTTATTTCTACAGTAGATTCGATCATATATTATGTTCCATAGTAGCTATTTATCCAGTCAGTCTTCAAGCCTTCGAATTCTCTATGATTCCGACGTTTTTCGACACTCAACTACCAACCAAGCCTTCTCTTTGACCTCAATTTTGCTCTGTAAGCTGTTTTCTATATCTAAATTTTGTCTTACGAGTTTTCTTAGACGGAATTTTTAACTAATCACATTTTTTTTCTAAAGGACAACTTTGACCCAATCCAAGTTTTCATATTTCGAATAGAGTCAAGTAACAAAGTTTATTTGCGTTTTGTTCGTGTTCGCTCTTTGCTTTATTGACTTTGATCAATCAATCACTTGCCTAACTTGATATTTTATAAGCGTTGATGCAGTGTATTATATTTCTAATAAGTTCCATTATAGCATAAGTATTTTCAATTTTCAGTCGAAAATCCGAATGCTATGTTGTTTGTCGAAATTTTTTTGTAGAAAAGCATTTCGACGAAAGAACATTTCGTCAAAAGTGAATTATTTTCTTCTTATTTATCTCACCGTCAGGAGACAAGTTCAAAAATATCTCCTAATTAACTTTGTCCCTTTGGCGACAGTGGAAGAATTTCAGGGCACTATTGAATAGAATTACATGCTTTTCGTCGAAAAGCACTTCAAAGCAAGGTTTGCAGCCCTCCGAGACAATTATGGATCCTTCAATTCTTCTACAGAACTGTTCAAACTTAAGAGGACAATGAATTTTCTCTCACACTCACGTTTGTAATACCTTTGCCCTCATCCTTGCGTTCACCCTTACATTCGCAGTGCCTTGCATGACTCTTGTCCTCACAGTTGTACTTAGTCTTACTCACCCTTGCCTTCACCCTTACATTTGGAGTACTCTTCATAGCCAAGAAAATACTTTCGACGAAAAACAGATATCTATCTGAGTTTATTGATAAAGCGCTTTGTCGGCGAAGTGTCGTGTCGACGAAAATTTTTCGACAATAATTTTTCGACCAACAACATGATCACCGAAAACCCTGTTAGTTATAAACTACAAATATTACAGAGAGAATCGCAATGTTACTTAAACAGATTGCACAAACCAGATGGTAATTTGTTCAGGAAGTAGATTTTATCAAGGAAGCAACCAGTCATGAATGTCAACTCTAAGAGATGCTTACGAACGAGTGACCGTTGATATTAATGGCTAAGTGAATATTTGCTTTAGATAATAGCTGTAAAATATCTAGCATGCTTGTTGAGAATGCTCGACTAATATTCGGTAAACGCTGAATTGAAATACATGGCAGATTTATCAGAAAGACTGTAAAAGTTAAGATAGAAATGATTCTGCATAACAAAATATTTTCTTTGAAATTTTTCATCGAGAATTCTTTTGCTAGAAATTGAATGGTTCATTCCAATCAGCTCAATCTAAATCGACTGATTTGTAGACTATAAATGATCTTTTGGGAAAGTAAACTTAGGCAGGTGAGCAACTAGCTGTGAGTGATGTTTCAAAATGCTGTCGAATAGCTGATCATGAATATGAAAGTTCCAACGAAGAAACGCTTCACAAGATTCGGTTCTGTAAAAAAGATTGTCTACAGATTACGTACGATCTGGAAAACTTTAACAGCTTATTTTTCCTCACGAACTCTGTGAAACAATTTTAAAAACGCCTTTGACACAAACTATCACCTCCAGTGGAGACGTTTGTGTTGTCAGTTAAGGAGATGAGACATATTGGAGCCAAAATGAAGCTCTCACTGCCAAACTTATAAATTTGAAATATAAGCTGCTGTTGGTATGCACCAACCACGATATTATAGTTTTAAGGTGTTAACAGTGTATATAGCATGGCGAAAATTCAAAGTTTCGGGAGATTGTTTCATTGTCTTCTGGATGGTTGGATATAGATAGTCGAGATACATTAGAAATATACATATGTTCCATATTTAAAAAAGATTGTAAAAGATCTTGATAAAGAATCCACGTTTGCATAACTGCCAAATATAAGAAAAACAGATCCAAAATTCTCACAATGGCATATTTTTTAAAATCTTTTTCACATATATGAAATTAATCTTTTTCTGATGCAACTCGAAAAGTGTCATTCAATCATCAAGAAAATAGAATAAAAGGTTCTGCTGAAATTTTGAGTTTTGGCTATCCTGCAAACACTATGAACACCTGAAAACTTCAATATCTTGATTGGTGCATACCAAAAACAGTCTATATTTTAAATATGTTAATTTGACGGTGAGAGCTTTGAATTTGATCCGAATATGTTTAACATCCTACTTGCCACTATAAACACGTCCATTGTTGGTGAAGTTTTATTAAAGTAATGTCCATGTAAATAAAGAAAGATCTGTATCTTATGACTCAAAACACAGAATATGATTAATGGGTGGATCCATTGGATTTGTACCACTTTCGGGGAAATTTTTTTTTCTAATTTCAATAGGCTAGTTAAAGGTAACGTCATCGAAAACGGTCTGAGATAATAATTAAAATCTTTTTACTTGTGAAAAGTATGGAGATCTAAGTCATTTCTTTAGGAACACTCAACATACATAAAGAGTATCCTATAATAAATTGTTAATCATATTTTTTATATTTTTTATTGACATGGAGAGCTGAAATTTTTGTCACATATATATCTAATCAAGATCTTTTATTTCTGAAAGTTTCAGCTCTCTAGCTGAAACTAGCGATGGAATACATGAACAAGACTGAAGTACATAAATTTTCGTATCCGATTTTTATATATTTTTACTATGAAACTATTGCAAAAATCAGTACGAAAATTGATGTATTTCACCACTAGCTTTCGCTGGAGAGCTGAAACTTTCAAAAATATAAGATCTTGATTAGATATATATGTGATAAAAATTTCAGCTCTCTATGTCAATAAAAAGTATGAAAAATACGATTAACAATTTATCATCAGTTATTATGGAATACTCTTTATATGTGTGGAGTGTTCCTGAAAAATGATATGAGTCTCCACACTTTATGTGTCCAAAAAAGTTTTAATTGTTACTTTAGACCGTTTTCGACGATGTTATGTTTAACTAGACTATGAAAATTGAAAAAAGGACTTTCTTTCAGAACATTGGCACAGAATACCTTTCTACCTGAAAGGGGTAGAAACTCTACGGATTCACCCTAACACGAATAACAAATGATGGATAACTTACATGCAGAAATTACTTCATCTTGATAGTATCGCTTTATATAAAACAGATCTTTGACAAAAGGAAGAGCTAAAAGTCATCTGAGCCTTTTTTCCATTCTTGTAATCTATATGCCGAATTCTTTCTCTGTGGTTGAGGTCTGTATCGAAGCTGCGAAAGTATAGAGAAATAATTCCTTTCTTTGGATGAAAATCGTAAAATGTAAAACAGTACAACACTGTTATCAATAGCCGAACTATTTATCTGTCATTTAGTAAACGATAGTCAAAATAATATTAGTCTAATAGTGAAATGTTGTTTAGACTCCGAAAATTATGGTCTTTAACTTTCGATTCATTATTGGGTACTAAGCCTAATTGGCTATAGTCTTGCCAGATACATGTTTAATATTACTGAAATTCTCTGAAACAACGAGTAAAACAGGCATCAATGGCGGTTCATCCTTTTTTATATGGATTAAAAACTCCTCAAAATCTTTATCTTTCATGAAAAAAAGAGCTGAAAGAAATATTTTTGAAGTAGTAAATCGATAAAATGTCCATCTCCATCAGCATGTATATTTTCTCAACTGAAGCGTAATCTCTCGTGTTAGATAAAAGAAGACCTTACATGAAAATGGGAAGAAAATGAGAGTTACTGTGTGCAGCAAACAGGAAAATTATCAATCAAATACCTATAACGAGACTTAGAGTGACATTCCTTTCTTAAAGTCGAGCAACATCCTTACCTGATTCAGAAAAAAGTCAGCAGGTTTATAGAATAAATTTTGTTTGTATGTAAACTATTTAATGAATTGCGATCTGAAGTGCCGAACCGAGAGCATTACTAGGTCTCTACTGCCTTCGACAACATTAATGCGAATAGGTCATATCTATTAAAGAAAATTATGTTCTGCATTGTTCCGAAGAAATTGAAGAACAAGAATTTCGCGATGTTCCAAATATCGAAAGAAAAAGATCTTATGCAACAATTTTTCACAATTAATGGGTGAGCTATCGAAAAAAATTGCCAGAATAGAGACTATAGGAGCTAGTATCACATACTTGTGAGTTATATTTCAATTATACCAACTAGAACGTCGATCCTACAGCGTTAAATTTCGTAGTCTTCTTATTCTATTTATTACATGCATTCAACGGTCAATATGAGGATAAGAAATGTTGTTTCATTGATTTCTTCGTACTATTAAAAATGTGTTGAACGAGAACATGAAGCACTCTAAACTAAATCCGGATCATATAGCAAATTGAGCAGTTGAAATTGCTGAAGCCTAAGGATGTTGACGAACAGCAGATGTGTACTATTCGTCAAGGTTCATTTTAGTAAATGTCAACAGAAAATAAAAACGTATGGTCTCTTTACTAAATGATCGTTTCGGGCAATGAAATAAATATTTGCTTTTACGTTTACCGCATGCTCTTGAGCGATAGTTCTCAAAACAGAGTCTAGTTAGTGATAAGAGGCGAAAGTGAAGTAAGGTTTAGTGGACGGTTAAGTCTTCCCCCCCCCCTCTCCAAAAAGTCGATTTTCGTCAAAAAAATGGATTTTGAGATAAACACATGGGCATGATGCTTGAGTTGTCTACTTTACAAATCCGTAAAGATATTATTGAATCTCTAAGTTTTTTGCGGGATTTTTGTAAAAAAACTTAAGTTAGTTGGAACTATTATTACTTGTATAGACGCAAAAAAAATGACTAGTTGATTTTTTTCATTATATATTCATTTTATTTCAAAACAAACACGATAAAAAGCAGATAAAAGTTCAATATAAATCATCACCACCTGGTTCGTATGCGTCTTCATCGCTCGATCTAATACTATATAAATAACCATCACTTTCGTCATCTTCGCCATTGCTGCTGTTGTCATCATTATCTAGAAAAATCTTGTGTGTTTGTTGTTCATTGACTTTTTGTGTTCTTTTACGACCAAAAAACTTTTGTCTATCGCCTTCTTTCGAAGTATCTAAAGTAATAATACCATGGTTTGTGTAATAACCACATGAATTGAACAGCTGTTGAAATAAATCACGTAATTTTTTATAGCCATCATTGTATAGAATAACGGCCAAATCAACACCTATATCAATCATTAAACCACTAGCATAACGATGTTTCGGTACTAAATGCCATAATATTCCATGAAATGTTTCATTTGGGTTCTGACTCCCTCCTCTAACAACTTTTTTCAAAGCCTCTTTAGAGCATAGTTCATCGAATGCAGGTTTGACAATGTCCATACAAGTTCTAGGAATCGAATGTTGACCATGATCATATGTGTCGCTATCCTGCAAATATTTGCACCATTTCGGATCACAGAATTGATGTTGTGGATCTTGATCTGTTGAATAATAATTATAAAAAATGGCCTGTGCACTATGATACATATTTGTCAGATTTCCTAAGTTTTCTCGAATAGCTTTTCCTAAGTACATTTTGAATTTTAGGATATGTTGATCTGTTAATCGACCAGCACCACCAATCTTCAAACCATCTTGTAATATCTTGTTCTTGTTCTGGGTTTTGATCTTTTTGATACGATTAGATAATCTTTTAGAGTAATGATTCACATCTTCTATCTTTTGAACTTCAACATTTTCATATGGTGGATCATCAAGCAAAGCTTTGTGCACTTTGGCATTACCATCTCCTATATAGTAATGATATTGAACATTGTATTTTGATATAGACCGTTTAAACATATCTTTGATTAAAGTTCTTTCCATAGAACCAGAAGAACCAGCGTAATTAACTTCACATTGATGACTTCTCATGAAGATTTCATATTTTTCTGTATTTGATTTTCGAATTGATTATGCACCTATACATTGAGAACATTCCTTTGATGATCTTTCTACATCAATAACCTTTGGTCTTTGTGTTGTTGAACAGATATCAGCAATTCCATGAGCACTTGAATGACCACGAGTTATCCATGATCCGTCACCACTGACAGTTAAATTGGTACTACTGGCTTCTTGTACAGCTTCTTTGACTGCAAGATCCATTGAATTTTGTTGATGAATTTGAATTATATCCAATAGATATGCATCAGTTGCTGTATAATGATCTTCATCAATCGGTGGTGGAATATTTAATGCAACACATAATTTTTCCAAACCACTACGTCCAATACCGGTTAAATGAGCACCCAATTGAGCACGAATATTGATTTCACGACGTTGCGTCATTGTTTGTTGTTTTGATGTTGGTAATTTAACTGCATGTTCACAATAAGAACAAATAAATTCCAATGATTCATATAGGCCTTCTCGTTTACGACATTGAATGCTTCCAAGCCATTGCTTATGACAATTTATACAAATTGTATTTTCCATTAAGTTAATCAAATTAGCTTTATCAATTATACTATTAGTATTGATATAATCATCATTTTTACCACTATTATTGTCATTTGGTTCTGTATTATTCAAGGTAGTTGGTGGCAGTGTAGTTGTTCTTCGGAAACTGGACACTAATCTTTTCCGACTTCGCGGACGTGGTTTTGCTTTGCTTTTCGATCCCATTTAAAATCTGTTGTGTAAGGATCGACACGATAAAAATAAACAATCTTTAGTAAGAATAATGACGATGAATTGAAAAGTGAATTGACAACAGAATGGATAGTGGAATATCGTGTATATGTAAAATATATTGAGATCTATTAGTTCTATTTGCAATATGTTTTGAACAAAAAGATATATATAGACGTTATAAACTATAGTAACAATGACAATTGTTTCATTGTGTTTGTCAAAGAATCTATTATCACAACAAAAACCTCTAAAAATGAATATAACCTCATGAGAAAAAAATATTCGTTCATCATCAAAATTTCATAGTATATACATCACAATATACGTTACAATAGTGACCAATAGGTGGCGCCATCTATCGCGGGATACGTCGCGTCAATCATAGTGCAATGCACTGTGACGTGTACCTACCATTGGCATGAAATTCTTGCATTTTTATGTTGGTTGCAGGTAATATTCACAAAAAAAAACTTGTTTATCGTTTTTCTCAAAACCGAGTTTTTTGCAAAATATCAATCTCTGAACAAATTTTTCTTCACTATAGTTTATTCTAGTAAACTGCGGTTTTTTTTATTTGATAGATAGATATATCCTTCTTCAGATGACGAGAAGGAATTTTTTATTTGACTCTTAATCTATGAGCAATCAGGTATTTTATGAAAAATCCTACATAGAGTTTTCAGAACTTCAAAGTTTTGTAGATCCCACCAAAGAAAAAAAATCAAAATTAAAAAAACCCTTTCCCTCATCTGAAGCACCAAGGAGTTCTCTTTCAAATGAGACCAGCCCGAGCGCTCCATCTCAAAGTGTATTGAAAAAATCCTTGTACGCGTGGGACCCCCATTTTGCCCCTTGGTACCTGTATATCTTCCAAACGGAAAGGGCTAGAGCCATGAAAATTTTTTACACTTGTACCTTTATGGCTCGAGCATTTGTAGAAAGTTTCATGAAGATTCCATGCACCATGTTGAAAATCGATTTTGGAGGGGGGGGGGGGAGCCTTAAGCGAATCTTGATAGCTGGCGCCATTTGTATCGAATGTTGATATAAAGTTTCAAATTAAGTATAAAGTTTAACATCTTCCCACCGAGTACTTTATTCAGTTAAAACTAAGTGAAGAAGCGATAGGCTTGAAGCGAATACCATTTAATTTCATTTTTTTATCCAAAAAAAGTTATTTTGAGAAAACAACGGTTTTTTCTATAAAGTTTAAGGAGACGCAAGTATGGTCGAATAATTTCAGTCTGTAATAGATTTTGTGACATTTATATCTTTGATTTCTCAGTAGGCGTACAGTATTTCAGAGAAACAATGTTCTATCAAAGAGAAACCAAGGCGACGAACAGTTAAAAGCTAATTAAGGATTCGGATTTCTCGATCCTGACTATCTTTTTTGAAAATTTATAAAACCGTCATTATTATTATAGAAAGTGTTTCCTGAATGAAAAGTATCGAGCTCGAAATTTCTAGAAGCCGATTACAGATTTGGCTTCGTCGCATTCGTTTGTCTTCATTGAAACGTTAAAGACTATACCAATACATGCATCTACCTGACTAGATGATTAGATGAAAACTTGAATCAACAGCCACAAACTCATTCTATCTTATACGATCCTATCTGCAGTGGAGGGATTAAGTCACATAGGAACGCATATAAAATGAGACTGAACATGTTCTCAAGCAGAGATCTATTAGTGCATGAAGATTTTTTTTAATTGGAGTCTTTAGAAACCTTTAGAAATCTCTAGAAATCTTTAAAAATCTTTGAAAATCTTTAGAAATCTCTAGAAATCTCTAGAAATCTCTAGAAATCTCTAGAAACCTTTGGAAATCTTGAAATCTGCTTTTTCCCCCTTGGGGCTCCCTCTACGAAGGTTTATAGCTTCTCTGGCTGAAGGAAATTACTTGTGACTTATGTATTAACTGGAGTATAAATATGGTTTATTCAAAATAGCAAGCATTTATAACAGAGAGAAGTTCAGATTTTCAAGAGAAATTTGTGAAAAAATAGTGTATCACATAGTTTCCGTGCATTTAGAAAAATTTTCGATTCGCGAATTAGATCATTCCTGTAACGTTTCGATTTGCTGACTCCTTTTCTTCATTTCAGTTTTGAATATGAAATAGGTCTTCATTAATTATTGAGTGGCTTCGGCAATGAAAGATAATAAATGACATAGTTTTGTGCCTACTACTCCCAAATCGCGAGGGGAAAGGGACATTTTTTACCAAACTTTCATTACCATCTCTAGTAGCATATGTTCGTTGCGATCTCCAGGTATAAGAAATAAAATAAGGTGTTCGAAATCGAATGTACGGGAGTTCAGAATGACAAAGATCAATTAGAAACAAAAAAGAACAGAGTGTTCGTAATGAAAGTTGTTCGGAAGATCGTAAGAAACAAAGAATATTGATTTTTAGAGAAAAAAATTGTGAAATTGACTGGAATTTGGAATGAGAATGATGGAAGAATGATAAGAATAAAAACAGGTTGTTCGAAAACATGTTTCTTTTTGCTATTTTTTTAGGGTATGTTAAATAATTTACTAGTTTTTTATTCTAAGACAGTACACAAACTGCGGATAAGGATGTGAAGTGAGAGTCTGCGTAAGGGTCAGTAAATAGAAGACGTCGCCCTGATACCCTCACTCGTCTAACCAATAGTTTTGAATATAGAAACTCTTTTAATTATACAGTATTTCATTTCCCAGAGATTAGTGCTCTCTGTTATCAATATTATGAATAGAATAAAGCAAAAAAGTCACAAACATGATATACAGTTATTACAGCGTTACGAGTAGAGGCAGAGAAATGTAGATATTGCTTATATAATTACGAAGGTGTCGGATCAATCATTCTCGATGTTATAAAACAAAAAAAGAAATAAAAGTCTTTATGACAGTTAAGAAGATCATCATAAATCAGTTACGTTCTCCTGATAAATTTGATCACGAACGTCTAGTGTTTTTCGTTCCGATTTTAGGACATTACTCCACATGTAATAATGCTCATTCCATTCTAAATTTTCGGTAATATCATTCCGATCTCCCTGTATTTTCGACTGCGATCTCCTGTACAAAAAGGATTACGAACTCTCATCGAATATTTGTTAAGGCAAAAAGTCATTTTCGAACATCCGAATGCATGTTTGAAGTTCGGAATGACTTGATGCGAAATGTCCGTCATCCATCGCGAGTTCCTATTTTGATGAATTGTACAGTTTCGAGCTAATCATGATGATTCTGTTTCGAGAAGCTATCGTTTTCAGCGTTATACTCTTCTGAAATAAATATTCATTATTTACTTCTTCTACAATTATTTTCTTGTCAAAAAATGTGAATTTTACTAAGAGAAAAAGGTTTTGCTGCGCAGTATTCCTTTAAAAAAATCATCGAGAAGAAGAGCAGCGAAAAATAAGTTAACACCGGCGTCGCAAAATTTTTACTGTCTTTTGTGTCTAGAATTTCGGTGCATCCGTGGGGGCTGAGCCCTCTCTAACTTTTTTTTCTGGCTACGTCACTACGCAAAGTGTCTGATAGAAAAAAAACATCTTAGAACATAGCTCTTGATCCGATACCCTTCGAAAAAGTACGGGTATTTCATCTGGCAGTAAATTACCGAACTCAGATTCCTTTATGCCATAAACTTCAACCAAACTGTGAACGAAGTATCGATGACCCTTTAGCATTTCGTCATTTTAAAATGACAGCCACTTAGGGCGTTCCTGTAGTCTGATCCACTACTCTTAATAGCCAGCAACTTCTACCGCATCCTTCCTTACTATCATGCTTCGCGTTCCCACCCATCCGATCACTTTCGGAGATCGCACTAACATATTCGGCCAAGTAATCGCGTAACAACCAGAAGACCGCCGACACCGATGGTTCCCTTCGAACAAATATCCCATCATCAACAACATACTGACACTTGCAATAATATCGTACACAATGCACCGATAACTACAGGGCCATACACCTAAAAGAGGACTCTTGCCGAAACACTTCGCTATTTAAGCATACTTCCGCATAGCGATCTTTCAGAATTGAAGGGTACATCCTAGAGTGACACATCAATACCCAAGAGTACGCCGCTATAGCAGCATTTAAGAATCATAGGGCATCTCCATCTCGTATGACCTGAGAACCCAAAGGTACCCCTTAATAGTAGGACTTGAGATTCCAATGGTATCCCCAATCGTAGGATTTTAAGATCCAAAGATATCCCCAATCGTAGGACTTGAGGATCCTAGGCTACTGGCTTGATGATAGTAGACACTCACTTTAACGTTCGGAGACCGTTACCGTTCTTCGGTAACAATCTGGGACCGATAACTTCACACCCCTAGCTCTAAGACTATGACAAACTATCGTAAAAACATGAGCCAAATCATCGATTTCCAAATTTCAATTTCCATTCATCCCTGCAATGTGGATAACTGCTGAAGCAATTCTTTGAATGTATGAGGGAGCATGAAATAGATCTTAACCTTACTTAAGTTTCGTCTTAGAATACAGTATTTTTGGAGATAGTGAACTTTTAGGATTTTTGCAGATTCTTAAAATTTGGATCAATTACTCTACTATTTGATATTGGTTATTATGAAGCACGCACCTCTTTTGCTTTTGCATGACATCCGATTCTTCTTACCAGCTCACTAAAAATGACTGCAGCGAAAGCTGACCCTGAACTCGACCTTAGAGATCGAACCCGAACCCGAACTCTGAAACCGAACCGGAACCGGAACCCGAACCCGAACCCGAACCCGAACCCTGAAACCGAACCCGAACTCGAACCCGAACCCGGCCAAACCCGAATCCGAACTCGAACTCTCAGAGCGAACCCGAACCCGAACGTTCGGGTTCGGTGCATGCCTACATTCGTGCTTATGAGTCCTCATTCCAGAGATATGCTCCATCTTATGACCAAAAAAAAAGACGTGTTTTTTTTCATTTTTTCGAAATTATTATTTATATATTGTTCTACTTTTAATC